TAAATATTGATATGTTACTTTGATACGTACACTCTTTGGGATTGAATGATTTTGTGGCGATGTTGTAAGGACAAAAATGGTTTGGTTTTGTATTGACCCTGAGAGTGTAACGTCGTATGTTTTGTATATTGTATTGTTTAGTTCATTAAGTACTTATTATTGTTAGATTTAAAAATAGTTTATAACTTTGGAAAATTTAATATTATTTGTATTAAATTTTATTTGCAAACAAAAATATGAGTTTTATTTCATAAACGATACACCTAATATATTGTTTTAATATTTCTTTACAATTGAAACTTGTTGGACCTAAATCTACTTTTTCTTAACGTCTCTTTAATATTACTAAAAATTGTTTTATTATTTGTTTTTTCAATTGGATGGATGTTGAATAAAAGCTTGCAAATTAAACACGATTCTGATAATATTTAATTAAAGAGAAAATTTGTTTGAATAACAAATGTTTTAAATACATTTTCTTTTCTTTGAATGCAACTTGTTTTGTCTTAAATTCTACCTAAAGACTTGTTAAATCCTTACCTCCCATCCTTCAGTGATATGATTTTTCTTTGATAAGATACGATATATAATAAAATAATTTCAAAACTTAAAGATCTTCCGTCTCCTATTTTCTTAGGAATAAGACAATAAGTATTCTATCCTGCTACGGGAGTCTAGGAAATATAAAATTATTAAATCGTGTCAAATCAAAAGTTTTGATTATTATATTGTTGGCGTTATTGGAGCTTGTGATCGAAGTACATACGAGATTTGGCCTGTACTAATTTAAATGTGACTAACTGTTAAAAGTACAGTTGCAGTCTTGATTTTTAATGATTAGAGTTTCTTTAATAATATTTACAAAGTGGATGAAGCAAATATCTATAGTTTACAAATATAAGTTCATACTTAAATGCTGCCATTACAAAATTACTATGGTTCAGGATATAATTGATTATAATTAATCATGTTGGATACATCACGATATGAAAGTGTTGTCTGCCTGTGATCGCGGTTGCTGTCAAGGTACCGAATCGTCGCGATTATGTAGTTATATAATAATAAAAAATAAACATAGTACCCCAAAAGCCTAGTTTCATTTAGACAGAATTCCTTTTCCTTTCCTTCTTCACAGAATATTCGATAATTATGTAATAGTTCTTGCTAATTCTTAACTTGTAATAATAAATGGAATCCACTTTCTTTGTCTGATATCCTCATCTTGATCTACCTATAGTTACATAGTAACAAATAAAAGGAGATTCGTCGCTACAAGTATGGCAAAGAAATAATGAGGAGAGGCTGTTATTTTGTATTTTATTCCCTATTTAAATTAGTTTTTTGCACTGCTTAAATAAACCACTTCATAGTCTCTTAAACTTTAAACATTTCCTTCGTTAAAACTAAATGTTCATATTTACAATAGGTACAATACTAACACAAATAATTTAACATTTCCATTTTGTTCTTTCCAAAATAAAAAAAAATATATTTCAACTTAAATCTACTGACTATAACGTGTTGAGAAGCTACTTCAAGAATGACAACACCAGGTGCCAGTTAAGATAAATTCTTCAATCAGATCAAATCCTCATAAATCTTTTTCCAATTTCATTTCAGTAGAATAAAATACTGAAGTATAAAACATAATTTTCATTTTAAAAATATAATAAAATATATTACAAAGCATTCTTTTACTAGAAATCATGTTAAAAACATTTTTATTCTGGATACTGATTTAACAAAATCAAATAATCTATACTAATATTATAAAGCTGAAAAGTTTGTTTGTTTGTTTGTTTGTTTGAAAACGCTAATCTCCGAAACTACTGGTTCGAATTGAATAATTCTTTTTGTGTTGAATAGTCCGATTATCGAGGAAGGCTCTGGGCTATATGACATCAAGCTACGACCAATAAGAGGAAAGATATAGTGGTAAATGTGTAAAAAATGGGAGAAATTATTTCATCTTTGAAGCCTTCTGTTGCGTGCGCCGTGAAAACGGTTCAAGATACACAAAAAATATGTATTAAAGAATAATAGCTCTTTTAATGATCTAAAAAACAGTCCGCGACAGTATATGTCTATCTTGTAAGATTAACTCACAAAAACCGTTTTTATGGTACCTAATTTGGTCGAAATAATTTAAGTTGTATCAACATAATGATATTAATCTTTATTCAAATAAACAAATAAATATGTTGTTGGTTAAGAGTACTTCATTGTGAATAAAAAAAAAACATAGGTTTTATCCTGAAAATTCTACGGGAACTCGACCATTCCGAAAACCCCGCAAGAACGGGAACTATGTGGGAAGAACCAAAACTCTGGCGGAAGTCACTATTCCACGCGGACGAAGTCGCGGCAAAAGCTAGTTGTAAATAAAGGGTTAAAAAGCTATGAACCTAAAACGTGTGATCTTGGATTATAAAGCGTATAACACCTTAATTAAAGATAATCATAAAGTTGGAAAAAGTAGGTATAATAAAAATAATTTATTTGATACATATTTATCAGAAACTATAATGTAGCTTAAAATTAAAATTTTATTTCCTTTGTCATCAACAGCGGCATCTGTACTGATAATCGAGTACTTCATTCTAAAGCATAATATGTAACTCCCATGAAAACCTGTAGATGGCAGAACCTACAACGTCAAATAAAGACAAAATATAATGTAGCCTCTCGTATGAAGAGGTAACATATGTGATAAAAGGATTTTAAAATATGATTTATTTAAATATTTTTATTTTAGCAAATATAATGTTCAGTATTTATTTTTTATGTTTAATTTTGCACATAATGTAACTTTAATTCAAGCGCCATCTATTAATAGATTTGATTTAAGTCTTGATTGAATAAATTCAGAAGTTGTAAAATAATTCTAAAAGTGTGAATTGGCATTTAATAATATATCTGTAATATTTAAAACAAGAATATAGAGATAACATATAGAACAATTTTAATTAACTACAATAGCACGTCCCTAGATTTTACAGATTTTTGTTAGACTGCAATGGCTGCAATAAGACAATCTTGCTTATTTAAATTATTATTGAAATTATAGATGGCAGTGTTACTAAAAATTTCTGAAAAATACAAAGAGTATATTGATAAAGGTAGCCCCAATTACTGTTTCGTTTGTAAAAAGGGACACACTAGAGATTGTAATATGAAAATTCTATGAGATTTATATTTAGGTCCAATAATTCAATCTTAATCGTTTCTGTATACAAGCGAAGGGAGAGTTGGAATGTACCGTCGGCCGTACTATTAGCCCCTTTTTATTTTTATACTTATAGAGGCTAATAAACTATAATTTCCTTAATGCATAATATGTTACCTTTTTTATGTATAACCTATAATTGATATACAATTATTATTTCCATATTCGTAGTAGTCCTTAAAACTTACGTCATCGAATGAAACGAAGAGACTGGACGATTTCAGTTTTACATTAACATTAAATCTTCGCATATTCAGCACGAAGCTTTAGTGCTGAATGTGACTGGTTAGTGACTGAAGAAGGTTACTGAATGAAGAACTGGAAACACTGCATAAAATGTAGTGTGACGATACAAATTACAAACACTGTAAGAATACATGTCAAAACTTCTTGATGGGCCGACACAAGTCAGTAATACTAACAACTACATATACCTAATAATACTTAGGGGTTTATTTGATATCTTTAAAAATATCATACATATGTATTACACATACGTAGTTTGAATCTCAGTGTAAGAAGGAGATTAGCAGAGTCTATAAATCTGGAGATTATTTTACCAATTTCTCTTGCTTCCAAATGTTTTTTCATATTTTCGATGATTAAACGAGTTCGTCTAACAGGTGCAGGCAGTGTCCTCTTCAAGCAGCAGAATGGACTTAGATAATATTAATTATTATTATGCCTCGATTATTGTGTGATAAAAGTCTTATACTATCTTAATTAAATATAAATAAAACAAAGTTCTAGGTCATGGTATATTTTACATCGATTTATAATGAAGTGGAGTGCTCATTACACGTTTCTCGTTCACTGATAACATAAATTTCTTACTTCTACACATCAGTTGACTAGATGTTGGCTACAATAGACAAGCTTACAACAACTATAGTGGAGTTATTTACAATTACAATTTTTTACAAAATTTTGGTTTGCATGTTTATTGAAATTTATTATAGACACGTAATATTTGATATTATTTTACTTAATGTATGCTACTTATATTAAATTATAATTGATGAATTATTTTATATTTATCTAAATTCTCATTTTGTCGTGGTATTAGAAATTTATTACATTTTATTAGGAGTCCATAGTTTTTATAAACAATTTATAAAATAAATGCTTATGTTAATTGTAATATACGTGGTAACTATATTATTTAAAAGTTAACTAGCTTACTCTATGACTTTTATGTACAATAATAATGATATTCTTAAATATATTTTCAAACTATACAAGTAAACAGTGCAGTTTTTCATCGTGTGTTTTGAAGTTGTTGAAATGTTACACACAGATTGACCGGGGCTATTTACATAATACTTAGGCTATAAAATTTGGTTGCATTTGACTATTTTTATTATATTGGCTAATACACTGGGTGCTTTGTTTCTACTGAAGTAAATACACAGAATGTAGATCATAACACATATCGTGGTATTAGGTATTCCTCTATTTTATATCTAATTTATCTAATTTTACAGTTCATAACATTTTTCAACACAAACTTATTTCATAAAGGTGATTCAGTTTCTTTGAAAAGTTCCCGTCACATCCTCAAACACCTTCTTGCTATTAAATGTGTCACTTCACACTGAGCTTGATTTTTTTTATTTTACAGAGTAGAATATGAATTGTAATACGAAAAGGGGGAGTTTCTGTTGGTTAAGGTCGTTGTTTGACTAGTTCTTGTTGAAGTACAACGATTAAAGTCCTTGGGATAAGGGCGCTGGCGAACACTATTCATCGGCTCGACAGGGCCCTGGGCATTAAATCAATGATCTGTACTAAAATATGAATTTTGCATTAGATATAACTTATCGATTGGGTTGACGACAGCCCCTGTGCCAAGATTCAGAGGCTCGTGTGACGAATGGTTCCCATGATGGGGAAGGTGGGGCACCTCCAAGTTCTGTAGGCTCATGGTATCAGAAGTACCTTCATCAAGTTGATCGAAATTACTCCCATCAAGAGAAATATCCGAACTGCAGAAGCTGTCTCCCGAGTGAGCTGGATAATCTACGAAAATAAAATAAGTATAAGTCACAGTCTAGAAATATAAGTAGTACATGTTAAATTGTTTACAACTGAAAAAATACGTACCATCAGGAGAATATGGCAAATTCGGATTAAGTGGTTGACTAGAAGCTGAATAAGAGTTGTCCAAGCCAAGGTAATTCCCGTGTTCACTGGATGGTGACTCTTGTTTTATACTCTTTTCATCTTTGTCTTTGTCCTTGTCATTATTTTTATCACCTTCTTGTTTCGCTTTGCGTTGAATCTTTTTCATTTTAGCTCTCTGATTCTGGAACCACACCTGGACCACTCTCACACTCAATCCCGTGTCTTTAGCTAAAGCTTCTCTTACTTTACGGCATGGTTTCGGGCTCACTTCAAAAGAAGCTTTGAATTGCCGTCGCTGAGCTGATGTTAGTATGGTTCTGGGGCGTTTTGGTCCTCTCCTTCCGTCACGAGGCCGCTCCGAATCATCTATTATCATATCATCTTCCGCGTGTTGCATCAGATACATTTCTTTCTCAAAATCTTGTCTACAAAATATCTGTCCAGCCCTGATGACATATTGTTCACCTTTTTGCAGAGGTTGGCAGCACATGACACATACAAAGCATTGAATGTGAAAGACATATTGCTGAGCTCGCATGACCATCTCCTGGGGTAGTAATCTGTCTCCACAGCGAGTACATTTGACGCCGAATAATCTGTGACAAACATAACAATGATACGGCTATTCTTACGACGCGAGATAACTTCGCTTCGCCATTCGCTGTGAGCGCGCTAGCACATTCGCAAAGCATTAACATTTAACTGATTATAATGTTTATATATAATAAATGTTTTTGAATATAATATTACCTGTCATAATCTGGTTTGCAATATAGTTTCGCATTTCTAGTGTAACATGTATGAGCAAGGGGACAGCCGCAGACACAGCAACTCAGGCAGTGTTCGTGCCAAGATAAATCGCCTACTCGCATCAAGTAGCGGTCCTGAATCTTCTGACCACATCCCTCGCATATCTCCACAATCTTCTCCCTCTTGATACTGGCACTGAGCTCTGTAGATGATATATCTATAATTAGCAGCATGTGATAAGGCCCCATCCTACGAGATTATAATTAGATGGGAGTCATATAAAATTAAATATAACTTAAAGATTTGACGAAATCTTTTGAGTAATCAAATAAATATTGCTTATAACTTAAAAATAAAATAACATTTGGATCTATCATCAAAACTAAATAACATTTACACCAATCGCAATTGCCAAGTATACAGTAGAAACAAATCGCCATTTTCAAAATTACCTTCTATAACCAAAATACAAAATAATATACTTTCCCTGTTTCTTAAAAAGTGTGAAACATAAAATGATGTAGACTGAATAAGACAATCGTGCAATTATCGAATTTTAGTAGAGGCAGCAGCACGAACGTCTTGAGTTGACGTACAAGCATAGATAAGTATAGTTAGAAACGGAATGGGTCTGAAAGTATTCGACGTCTCGAGCTCCTTAAAGGTGGGGATGTGGCTGAGGGGCGTGTCGGGTCACTAGGGTCACGAGATCAACCCGAAAACAAAATGTCTGCGTAAAACTGGCTCGTGTTCGAGAACAGCATTGTTTGTGTAATCTTGTGTAGTGTAACAGAAATCGAAATAAAATGAAAAATTAATAGATGTTAAGAATAAATTGTTTCAACTTAATAAGTTAGAAATTAGTACAAAGTTTGTACGTAAATCAATTATTTTTATTATGTGTAAAATGTTTTGAAAAGTACATTGTAATCTATGTCTATATTTATATTATAAACCTGCAGAGTTTTTTTGTTTGAACACGCTAATCTCAGTAACTACTGGTACGATTGAAAGAAAAATAACGTTGGATAGTCAATTTATCAAGGAAGGCTATAGGCTATATTTTATTTTCAAAAATAGAGATACGTAAGAAAAATGTTACTTTGTAACCAAAGGTGTATAATTGAAAAAGTACGCTGCAAAAACTATTAAAAATACAATAAAATACTGAACTACGAGCTTCCAAGTCTCATTAAGATCTAAAAAAATTTTAGCGGGAGCATATCCCTATCTATCATAGATTAGTCACAATAGAAAAATTAAACTACATTATTTATGTATCGTAATATTAATCCTTATACAAATTAACAATTATGTTAACAAGGTAATTTATGTAGAAGAAAAATACTTTTTGTTTCATCACAATTGGATTTTTCGTTTAAAACTTATCATGAGTATGAGACGCTTAGAATTTTTAACTAATAATGAATTACTTGCCAAAGAGTTTTATTAACTTAATAAATCTCATAATAATCTTTACTATTATATTTCCATATTTCATTGTGAATAAAATTTTCATTACATTAAAATCCACTTACCTAAATTCAATTAATATCTTAGAGTAGTATCGCTATTAATATTAAAAATGCGAAAGTACTCTGTCTGCCTGTAACGTTTTCAAGGCTAAACTACTGAGCGGATTTTGAAGAATTTTGATATAGATATTAACATAGGTTATCTTTTATTCCGATCTCGATACGAAAATAACACAGATGGAACCATGAAGTGCAATTCGACTTCAATGGTTCTAGTGGCAGAGAACAGCTCTAATGTTGATGCGGACGGAGTCGCGGCAAAAGCTAGTATTCAATATAAACGTCACATGTCTATATAACTATCATGGTCATGACAGACATACTACGACACTTCCCATCGTGTTCGAAGATTCCTCAATGTGTTTGATTAAACTATTGAAGTTGAAATAATTAATTATTGTCAACCATAAATCGTTACGCGTTATGTAATAAAATTAATTAAAATAATGTTGATTTACAGAAAGAGCAGTCTTTACTTTTAATATGTTCTTCACTTCTTTTTAATTAAAGGAAACAATCAGTAATCGTTTTGCATTAACTACTCGATCTACGCTTTCGCGTGGTTTGAAAATATTCTTAACGCAACTAAATATACTGTTCTAAAACTTACTGTTACTGTTCTAAAGCAAATACTGTTCTAAAACTCTAAAAAATATATTTAATCTATTAATACTAACTAAAAAAATATAAGAACAATGAAAACTATATGTTTTAATTTGGATGTTATACATAATCTTCTGGCAAATAATCTGATAATAGTCGCGGTAATGATTTAAGAAGTCTGAAAATAGAAAAATATTTCTGTCTATCGTAAATGAGATCTTTTTTCACCTTTTTTTTTGATTCATTATAGATAGTATTATATAATATATTTTATATCATACTAAATAAATTAGGTAACAAAAAATAATATTACAAGGTTTCTTTGTTGGATGTTGAAAATATTCCCATACATATTATGGAGGATAGTGGTTTTGGTTCAGAGAATCGATAAGATGTTAGATAAATCGCCTAAATAAAATATTATATATATAAAATTCTCGTGTCGCGGTGTTAGACAGAGAACTCCTCCCAAACGGCTGGACCGATTTTGATGAAATTTTATGAGGATATTATTTTTAATTTCAGACGAAATTTTATGTCTTTATTTTATTATGTAGCATTAAAAAAACATACAACCCAAAATGTTTACTTTTTTATCACCGAACCTTATTTTTTTATGTGGCAAAACAACGTTTGCCGGGTCGGCTAGTATGTATATACAATATACATATTGCATATACAGTAAAATGATGTTTTAAAAACCGCATCGAGCACTGTTACATTCGTTGAACATTTTGAACTGACCAAGAGGCATTATTTATTAATATAAATGAAATAGTGTTTTAATAAATATATATCAATACCTTTTTGAGTTGTCTATATCCTATTTATAACTTTTGGTCAATAGAATTTTCAATATATTTATATCATGTTTAAATATATGCATTTATGTATTAAGGAATTAATAAATTAGTTAATTTATCATTTAAATATTAAAATAAAAGTGACCTAATAGTAAAAATAAAAGTAAGTAAAGTAAAAGTTGAAAATATATATCTTATCACATGAACTACCATTTTATTCATCTGGTGAAAACTGGTTATTGTCGTATTAGAATCAGAAATTTCAATTTAATTTATTTATTGTTTTTGAAAAAATATATTTTTTCCGTATAAAACATCCACCGTTTTTGATTCAGTTTTATTTTAATTAGGGCTCATTTTGAAAATTTACAATCAGTTATATTGTAACAATATTCTATAATTCTATTAATAAACAATTTATGATTTTGTTTTAATTATGTAATGTATTAATAATATTTTTTTTATTATTATATGAAAAACAATATATTTTGACATAAAATCTTTTCTTTATTCAGTTCAATAAGAAGATTTTTAGAAATTAATGAACTCATAACCAAAGCTTTGATTAAAGAATTTTAGCTCTACTCCTGTCTTTTTAATTAAAAGCAAGCAGGATCTTTGTTATTCTACACTAAGGCAGAATGAAAAAAATTCTGCCAGCATTTTAGGAACCAATTTTTCTGTTTTACGCTGCTCCATCAATTGTAGAAACGAAATGAGAACAAATATTATTGGATCACAATAAACAATACATATCGGCGCTATTGTCATCCTTATTATTTGGAAAAAATCGAATACATGACTTGTATGCTTTGAATACGCGAGCCAGAATACCTGACTTGTAAAAGCTATAAATAAAATATATAAAAGAGATAGAATTTTTTAAATAATTTCTATTATTGCTCCAACATTTTTTATTTATTCCATAGAATGATAAAAAATCACCCGTACGGAGATCTATAATATACTACATATATGAATGTATATATATATATGTACTATATATATGTACATACTATATGAATAAGGCAATAAAATCACGTGAACGTTTTTAAAATAAAATGTTTTGTCTGACTTGACTCCGATATAAAATAAAACAGAACTTTTATAAAAACCTATACGGCCTTTTTAAAGCTATGAACACTTTAGTCAGATAGATTTAATAAAACGTTTAAAATTTAAATTTTCTTTGATTAATATTAGAATGAGTATAAATTCTATAAAGTTCTAGGATTAAGATTTCTATTGTTTTGATGATAACTTTAAGTACAGTCTTACATTTAAAAATCTTCAAAAAAGATATGCCCCATATATTGTATTATATGTATTGTATGAAAAGAATTCTTCCAGAATAATTTCAGCCTAAATGTTATATGATAAAATTTAAAAAATCATTTCAATTATAAACTATGTAAGTTTACAAAGAATTCCAAATAAACCGAACACTTTCTATTATTATTTAATGTATAATGTTTGCATCGTTAATTTGTATGGTTAGACGCTATTGGTCTGTCAAAAGGCTAATTAATATAGCGGTTTGAAAATCGTATTTGATATTAAATTTCATACGATTATAATTTATTTTATACTAAACATTATAATCATGTTAATTGTTATCGTAGTGTTATTTTCATCAATCTTTTAAGTCTTATACATTCACTTCGAAGGTAGCTTTGTTTTTGATAAATAAAAATTTAAATTATTATTCACTTAAACTAAAATATTTAACAAATCACGGTTTTATTCCCCGAATTATTGATTTTTTTGTTATCTGGTGTGGAAGTTTAAAAAATAAGTTAATAAATGTATATGTACTTAATAGACAGTTAACCACAACTGCGGTTTAAACTTTACAGTAAATAAGCCTACGCTTCTATAAGTCATACATTTCTAAAATACAGACTGCAGCCATCGTTATATTATTTATAGAAATTTTCATAACAATTGTGAATACTTTTTGATGTCTACGCCGATTTTAGTTATAAAATAATTAACTATCCAAGTTTTTTACAGAAAATCTTATTATATACTAAGTGTATATATAAATCTGAACCATTTGGTATCGTTCGCATTGCAAATATTTTTAATTTGTTACAGAAATTCCTTGTTTATTTTATATTTATAAATGTAAAGTAACTAAGCAGCTTACGCGTCATTTTAATAAACTTTACATAAATAGATGTTGTTATAAAAATATCCATTATTTTGAAGGAATTACGTTAATTTCTTTTATGTTATATACTTTTTAATAATTATTCGTGGTTTGGCAATTCTTTAAAACAAGTTGGAATCCTTGTATATGGTTATTTGATGCATGGTCTAATTGTCTACTGATATTTTTAAAGGGTTGAACTTTCGAAACTTTGAAAATTCAAATATTCAATTTGAATTGGTTTTATTTAAATGCTATGTTTACAATCGTGCTGGTTTCGTGGAATATTTGGCCAGTGTCAATTTTCATATTAGCTGGAAACTTTGAATCTTTAAATATCAATTTAACAGGACTATTGACATACTCGTATGTACATATTATATTTTTGGTAAGTGACAGCTAAAATAAATGTCATATGTAAAATTCTCGTGTCGCGGTGTTAGACAGAGAACTCCTCCGAAGCGGCTTGACCGATTTTGATGAAATTTTGTGAGCATGTTGAATCGGACAAACTTGTTGTTCACCTTTATTTTTTTTTATTTTCGGACGTAATTTTTTGTTTTTATTTTGTTATAATGTAGCATAAAAAAATACATACAACCCAAAATGTTTACTTTTTATCACCAAACCCCTATTTTTTTATATGGCAAAACAACGTTTGCCGGGCAAATAAACTCACATAGGAATCTAAATTATTTAATATAGCTTCAAACAAATATTTCAAGTTAAGCTTTACAGAACTCGTATAAAAATATAAATGTTGAAGTTATGCGAAGCGTTATTTATAAAGTGAAAATAGTTTTTATATTGAAATGTAAATATCGAATGAAAGGAATTTGTTTTTAATGTTCACACAATTTTAACGAAGTTTATACGTTTGCATATTTCATTCTACAATTTGTTTCTTAATATGTAATATTTCGATTTTTTATATGTTACTTCATTATATTCACATTCTTTTAAGTTGTTTTGAAACGAATTGCAAAATAATTTATTAAATTCCCTTTTTTCTATTCCGTATTCTTATTGGTTTGTTGCTGTTTACCGAAGTTTTTTTTCACTTAGCCTAAACGTTATTAAAGTTATTTTTATAACTTCAAGTTATGAGATATTGGGTTTTTTATAATTATATTAAGACGCAATTGATGCAATAGTCAGTGGTGGCCTAGAGGTTAAAGGGCCCGCCTCTCGTTGCCGAGGGCGCGGGTTCAAACCTGGCCAGTACCAATGTGATTTTTTGGAGTCATATGTACTTTCTGAGCGTATTTTGACACCACTGACATACGGTGAAGGAAAACATCTTGAGGAAATCTGGACTTATAATTTCACAATTATAAGTTTGAAATCACCAACCCGTCTTGAGCAAGGGTGGTGGTTAATGCTCAAGCCTTCTCCATGAGAGAAAGAGGCCTTGCTCAGCAGTAGGCTCTGATAGGCTGATGACGACGCAATTGATGCAACTACATATAAAGGACTGACAACGATGAGATGACTTTTTTGACTGAACTTAATGTAGTAGGAATATACATATGTGTTGTTTATTTACAATATAACAATTAGACTGATGAAAGACAAGTATATTATATTATTAAGAATATATCATTATGAAATTTGGCGTCAGCTTTCAGTTACTTATATATATATGTACACATATATAAGTAATAGAATTATAATAAGTTTTAATTCTGTAATAATATAACCTATACATATGTCCTCAAAATAACTACACTCTGATACAATACCGGGATAAAAAGCAAAAGTTTTTATAATTATCTTAAACCTTTCGTATTTTTCATTGTGAAGTATATTTAAAGTAATAGTTTTTGTTAAGTTTATATACATATATACATACATATATATATGTATATAGAGATATATAGTATATGTATATATACATACATATATATATATATATATATATAGGTGAGATACGCCTGTCTGTATGTATATGTGTGTTAGATTACTCCTTATCACCATCGATCGATACCCGCTCTGATTATTACAAGTATCTCCGTTTTTTAATAAAACAATAATATTTATATTATACATTTTTTAAAAAGAAAAATTTATATTTTTCACGAACATCATAATCATTCAACCACTCCTTTTTGTTTCCTTTAATTTTTCATAATTCAAAATATACATATATTTTTTTTTAACAACTACAGGCTGATATTTTATTTAATAAATGAATAAATAAATGTAATAATTATTATTGATGAATAAGTATAATTAAAATATGAAATATAATTTGAATTCAAAACTACACATGTTTTAAATCGTTTATAATATGTAATTGAACTGATTGTGTTAAAATATAATCTAATAGTGAAACTGTCAAAAATTTACTTAAAATAAATAAAAACACTTTGTAACTAACTGAAAGATATTATTTTTATTTAAATAATCTTATATATTAATTTCATAAATTCTGATGTAATTATTATTCTTGAGTCGAATTTGTTGCGTCGTCTTTAAGCTCTAAATAATTTGTAACAAAACTTTTTTTTACTTAAGCACAAAATAAATTATTTTGAATCGATCTTGTTTAAGTTTTAAGTGATATAAGTATATATACATATATAACTTAATTTATTCGCCTGTGTCACAACTATAATGTAACCTTAAAAAGTTAATAATATTCGCTATAGCTTTTGTTTTATTTAATACAACTAACCTGTCCTTCCTGCGCACGACAGCGGCGGCTGCATGCTCTCAGGCATCAATCCCGAGTTAATGTTAGTGTAGAACTCAAGCATTTTTTTCATATAAGATTATCACGTTCACGACACAGCGGCGCACCGTGCGCCAGTCGAATTCACAATGGGCTATGGATCAGGAGTACTCTGGCGGATGAAGGGACCGAGGCCCCCTTCACAGCTCCCGCCAATGAGCTGCTGGTGAACGAACCGCCCCGCCTACATCAGCATAACCCAACCTACCTATTATACAGTACGGAGCGATATTTTGCTGCCGAAACGGCACCAACAAATTGTGTGTCTTTTTTTTTTCATTCGTAGCAAAAAAATCGACGCCTTATAGCACAATCACAACCATATTCTGATTATTTTAACCACCGTTTCTTAGATCAATCGTACGTGTCTTAACTTATTTGGGTTTTATAACACCGTGTGACGTTTTCAGATTTATGTTAAATGCTGGTTGCTTTAGGCGTTCGCTAACGCTATGGCACTAACTTCGACGCTTCAGACATTTAACTTCCACTTTATTTGTGACATATATACATACGTAAATCATGAAATTATTATTTTTTGTATTATTTTAATGATAATTTAGCCTCATATTCTTAATATCAACAATTTAAGTAACGTAAAATAAATGCTCGTATTTTCATTCAAGAACAGAACATTGTTGCATGTATTGTTTTTATTTAAATATTTGACGAGCGTCGGTTTGCGATTTTGCGAAATGTTTTATTGAAAACGATGTACGGCGCGATGTATTTGATTGTTAAATGAAATGACGTAATTTCGTTAACATGGTCAATTTAAATGTTGAATGTAATTTTAACATATCAACATGAAGATAATTGAGTACGTACAATTGTTAACTGAGATCTTAAAAGTAAAATAATACTAAAATTAACATATTTTTAACAAGTTTATTTGTCTTATTAATAGCTATTTGATAAAAGAATTTTTTGAATTGTATAGAGTATTTAAAATTATTTGTATCTATTTTTATACTCTGTGGTTATACCCGTATAAAGTTCATTTTAAACTGTTGGATCAACTGGATTGTTAGCTTTTTATTTGGACGTTGACATCACTGCGTTAAAAAAACACAAAATAAAAGCTAGTCAAAACATTCGTTTGACAAAATGGCGAACTCAAACAATGCAATTGTCATGCAATTCTCTGTATCAAGTAAGACTGAGATGAAACGAAATTTAATACTCTTTTAAATTATTCCAACTACCAGTTTCTATACAATAAATAACGGTGAAACGCAGTACAGTAAATATTGAGAGTACTAATCCCCTATTACTTTTATTTTGCTTATATGCAACCAATCCTAGGGTCGAATGATATTGAGGCATCCCTTTTTAATATAGAGTTAGGTGTATTCGCTATAAAAAGAATAAAATGCGGCTGGCTGGAGAGGTATCTCGGTGGGTACGGTATTGTGGTTCAAGTGGGCCAATTCTGCTATTGAAAGTACTTGCACCATCCGTCATGTAAACAGTGGATGTTCGAAGTATGGATGTGGTATTTTAGTTAGAAATTACAGTATCTGCTTCGTACTGAACTATGAAAATAGAGTAAATGTTGGTGGAGTAAATTAATAGTTTGAATAACTCAAGCTTTTTTGTTTTGAGTTTATATTATATTCTACCAAATAAATATAAATACCTTAATATATTTGAGATTTTAGACCTTAGTCATACACAATTTGATTAAACTAAGTTGGATTACCACGACATTGCCGCATCCATTTGACAGTAGATCTTGAAAATTTCATAGGAATTATTATTGTGTTTTCATTTATCACAATGATTCAATGGCTCTGCGTGAGTTTTGGCATTGTGTCCGTTGGAGCCACTTCACGTACGCTGGCTGAACAGGGACATTACTAGAGGAAATACGTTTGGCAATACAAATACAATTACCATGGTCTTTAATCGGTTTCGTTTTTTCGAAAGGATAGCAATTTTTTGTCACCTGACGAGTTTTGATGGTATTGTAATGTTATCATTTTATAATAAATACATCTCTGCTCTATTAACATTTCCTTTATTTTGCTGTTGAAGAGAATTCTTGGTTTTGTTAATACTATTATAAGCTAATACCTTTTTATTTATCGCAAAATAAAATAACAAAAGCGTCTAAATCTTGGTACTGCTTCAACAGTTTTTATAAACGAGAAATGAATATAATTTTTAATAAAGTTAGCATTGTTTTTGTGTTTTTTGGCTTCATACTATTTAAATACCAGTTACAATTGTTTCATAAAAAGTAAAGTAAACATTTAAAACTCTATTTTAGGGAAAACGTGATATATATAACATTATTTGCTTGTCTATTTCATCGTTATTTAAACAGAATGTTTGTTTGAAATAGCTTGTTTTCTCTTTGTATATATACATAATATATGTATAACTTCAATCGATTTTATAGGTTTAATTTTGTAACATGGTAATATAAATTTGTTATCACAATGGTTTCATTGATGTGGCGGCAGATATCTATTCAGTTGGAAGAGCTCGATTGGTTCGGAAGTTTTCAATTTTCGTTATGACTCTGCAAAATCTCGATTCTTAACTACATCCAGTTTTATTAGATTTTTCAGAGCTCGCAATATGCAGCAATATAGAAATTGAAAACGCAATAACTTAATTGAAAAATTGAAAAACAATAACGAGTGCAGTTATCAAATTGTGTTTCATTTTATCCGACATAATAAATTGTGAATAAAAGTATGAGTTTAATTGGAATATTATTGCAAGTTTTTCTGTATAAATGGGTTTAGTATTTGGAAGAAATATTACGAATGTAGGAAATAAGTTGTAAAGAACAGTTTTTATTTAATAATATTGAGATCTTTAAGTTTTGAGATCAGGTGGAATTTAATTTGCCTTTGGGTACAATCTCCGTCAATAAAGGCTGTGCTACACACGTGCCGACGTCGATGATCCCCGTCTTTGCAATCATTTTTAATCTTTATCAACTACTAGAAGACCTGGCGAACTTCGTATCGCCCTATAATCAAGAAATATCTATTAAGTTTTTTTATTTATATTTTTGGAGTTTACCTGTAAGCCATAAATCTCTGTGTTTTGAAGTGCGACAGAATCATTGACATTTTAGTTAGTTGTCAAATCTAATGTCAAATAAAAATGTTTGTATGGGAAATAGAAAAAGGCTGTTTTTATGGTTTTCCCAGTAATGAATAAATTTTTTTCAGCTTTTATACCTTCCCTGAACCTCCACAAACATTTCAAGACTAAGATAAGATAAATCCGTTCAGCTGTTCTCGAGTTTTAGCGAGACTAAGGAACAGCAATCCATTTTTATATATATAGAAGATATATAAAGTTCAAATTCGATTGCATGTTCAAAATCTTATACGAAAAGGGACCAGCTTTCCCCTACCGTAAACATGGGGATGTGTTTTTACACAGATCATAGAATAGAGATTATTACCGGAATGAATACCTACTTAATTGATAATGCTTAATATTTTGTAAAAATACTTTCCAATATATTATTGCGTTTGTGTTTTCTGTATTTTTATATTAAAGAAATATATAAATTTATACATAATTCGTGTTTTATATTGTAATAGTCCTATAGGAGTACCAAGTATGAATAAAAAATATCCAACTAGCTTTAATTTCATGTGAGAATTTTGTCTCTGAGAGGGAGTCATCTGAAAGGTATATATTATGTAGACAGCTTCTATAAAACTCTGTGTCTTGTGGAACAGGGAGTCTGGATGACGGATTTAAAAGGCAGCGATGGCTTGCTAGTACGAAAGTAAGCTGTTTTGAAATAAACAACTCAATTTTAATTAAAATCTCACATAAATGTTTATGGAAGCTTCGATTGACTATAATTTTTTTTATAATTCTATTTATCGGAATGATCATTTCTAGTTATAATATTTTCAAATCAATAAAATTTTTCACGTTCACAGAATTAAATATAAAGTGAAAAAGCTCAAAAAATAATCCATCCAAAGAGTTGTGAATAACGTATGCAAGTTATTGGAAACAAAGACAATAACAAAAGACCAACGAGCCGTCATTAAACACAAATAAAAGTGAACTGGAATGGAAACATTAAATCATCGTGCGATCTATGGGGCGTGGACGTAACTGGGGGAGTCGTGACACGTCAGCTTTGTAAGTCATAGATTACGGCTGTATTAAGCAACGATTTTTAAAGAATTAGCCGCGTTAAGTCTTATATATGAAGTTTAGTATCAACGATACGGCTCACATCAATAAACATATATATTTTTCTTCCATTAAAATTAATTTCTGTCATATTCTTTGACACTGTAGTAATATACAGAATTTTCGGTCAGTAACTTAAATTCAAAAACGCCGTTCAGTTATCGTGTTATTTAACTAAGTTTATGGATAGTGACATCTAAGACTTTCGCGAGATTTTTTCATTTAAATGAAATTAATATTTTTCGGACATACTACGCATGCTTTATTTTGTACCTACTTTATTTTCGATGACGGTTGATTCAGCAACCAAAATGTAGTTTTTTACAAAAATAAGACACGAGTAGTATATCCGAAAAATATTAGTTGCATTTAAATAAATAAAACTCGCGAAAGTCTTAAATAAAGAAGAAAGGTGATGGTGGAAGTACGAGAGTATAGTTATAAGAAAATAGCATCTCGTCTATAAAACCTAATACATTTGGCTGACGAATAATGCAAATGTACCAACAGTAGAATTAAACAATCTAACCCTTATTACTTTTTTACTAGATGTGTTTATTGAAACTATCAAAGTTTAGAGAGATTTATTTCGCGTGACAAATTGATTAAAGCATTTCTCTTTTTTTTTATTACAAATGATTCTCTTAATATTTCAATTACATTGAATATATTATATTAAAGTTATTCAACTGATTACTCTCGTCAATGTGAGTCAGGTGATTCATATAGACTATTTAATATGTAACTTCACGGATGGATACAGCTTAAATGAAACGGGCGGGAAGATTTTAGTTAAATCGTGCCACGCGTCGTACGCGTGTCGTGCCCGTGGGGCTAGTTTACAAAGCC